TGCAGCTACCTCATTAAGGCATTTATAAGCCGTGTTTTGCAATTCCAAAAACAAGCTATCGAGACAGAGACTGATAACTCTGGTTTTGATCATAACTATCCTTAAAAGTAAACAATGAATTTCATCTGGGTTAGATATTGTGTCCAATCTTGTTAGCTTGTTCTGGACTATTTCTAACATTTCAACCAAATCTTGTGTAGATACATTCACTCTCTGTTGCCCTCCCTCCATTTTTATTTAATATGAAGTTGATAAGCATAATACGGAGGCAATAATGAGCCTGCAATGTAATTGAGAGAAGATTAGCGGAATTATGATATGGGCAGTGATTTTATTTTATTTTGAGACTTCAAGACTCGAGTATATATGCTCAAAACCATTCAAATAAACATAATTGATACCTTATCTTCCGCAGTCAAAATTTCCCGGACAACAGTGTTTGTACCTTTGCATTCATTAAGGAGGACAAAACTGACCTTTCTCTAGCCTTTATCTTTCTATTAGAAGTTAATGGTTTGATTGATATGCTTGATTTTGTATTGGCATACATTATTTAAATGTTTTACGCCAAATTATTAACACTTTCATTCGATTTTTTGAAGCAGTTTGTTAGTTGGTGCCAGAGGCGTAACTAGAACGTTAATTGAGGAAGGGGTGCATATTAATTCCTGTTGGCCCTACTGATTTCTTTTGAAAGTGATTTCAAAAGAAATCAGTAGGGCACAACTGAATATATGAATATACACCCCAATTAACGTTCTAGTTACGCCTCTGGTTGGTGCAAATAAATGTTTGGTCCTTTGACATTCACTGCTTTCCGCACGTGCTTTATCTGACCACCGTTCATCGTATACGTGTTTCCACGTATCTCCTTGAAAATAATTTTGTCGGAACTTGTACCCTTGCACAAACCGCCAATATTCAACTTAAATGAAATTTGAGCATTGATGTAAACTATTGTCGCAAATGTTAACTTCAATGTTGCGAATGCAAACTTTAATGTCGCAAATGCAAACTTTAATGTTGCGAATGCAACCTTTAATGTTGCGAATGCAAACTTTAATGTTACGAATGAAACTATAATGTCGCGAAAGCAAACTATAATGTCGCGATTGCAAACTATAATGTCGCAAATGCAAACTATAATGTCGCGATTGCAAACTATAATGTCGCGATTGCAAACTATAATGTCGCGAATGCAAACTATAATGTCGCGAATGGAACCTATAATGTCGCGAATGGAACCTATAATGTCTTGAAAGCAAACTATAATGTCTTGAAAGCAAACTATAATGTCGCGAATGGAAACTATAATGTCGCGAAAGCAAACTATAATGTCGCGAAAGCAAACTATAATGTCTTGAAAGCAAACTATAATGTCTTGAAAGCAAACTATAATGTCGCGAAAGCAAACTATAATGTCGCGAATGGAACCTATAATGTCGCGAAAGCAAACTATGATGTCTTGAAAGCAAACTATAATGTCGCGAATGGAAACTATAATGTCGCGAAAGCAAACTATAATGTCTTGAAAGCAAACTATAATGTCTTGAAAGCAAACTATAATGTCGCGAAAGCAAACTATAATGTCGCGAATGGAACCTATAACGTCGCGAAAGCAAACTATAATGTCTTGAAAGCAAACTATAATGTCGCGAAAGCAAACTATAATGTCGCGAATGGAAACTATAATGTCGCGAAAGCAAACTATAATGTCTTGAAAGCAAACTATAATGTCGCGAATGCAAACTTTAATGTCGCAAATGCGAACTATAATGTCGCGAAAGCAAACTATAATGTCGCGAATGGAAACTATAATGTCGCGAAAGCAAACTATAATGTCTTGAAAGCAAACTATAATGTCGCGAATGCAAACTTTAATGTCGCAAATAAGAGCTATAATGCTAAAAATTGAGGCATGAATTTTGGCGGAAATTGAACGCTATATACGCACACACTTTAGACGAAACATTATTGTAAAAGTCAAACATTATAGTGATGGTTGGAGACTTATAATCAAATATAAATTTTACCATGCCCACTTAAGTCCCAAATATATATTGGTCGTAATCACAAACATGTTGCTGGGACGAATGAAAATTTCAATATTGGCAAAAGAGTCTCAGAGCTCTTTTCTTCCGCATACGTCACAATTAAATGGATTGATAATTTTACCAAAGCAAATTATACTAATTTGGCATTCAAAGAAAAAGACAAAGAAATTTTTTTATGGTCGACTTAACAGTCTTCTTCAGTCATCTTCAGTGCAAATGAGTAATTCGAAGATGAAAAAGACAAAAAAGATTCCGATGACTTACATTATGTCGAAGCACTTCCTCACAACTAAATATCACGCCGTCTAACCTCAAATACTTCGATCTTGTGTAGTCGAGATCATATTACAAATAGATTAACTGGGATAAGGCTGTTTGTAAAACTTCAATAATCAATTATAAAAATTCATTGAGCCATATTAGCTCGATTCGCTTATTAAAACAAGAATTATACAAGAATATGACTATTAATAAATTTTACATTTGGTCAGTCAATATGTTGTTGCAATTCTACGCAGAATGAAGACAAAATCAACACAAACTGAAGCCCGCTTTAATACTCTTTGAAGTCAGTCAAACGTAAGGTTGATGAGAATAGGTGAAAGCCTAACAGACAGATATTTCTTTAAAATAACACATGCTTGGCAACCTACCAGCGACGACTTTATTTATTATAAGTTAATAACGACTGACACATGCTCTTATAACTTATACTTCAACATTGCAAATTGTGTATCGACCGGGTAAACATAAAACATTCAACGTTCAAAGGACATACCTTTTATAGAAAGGACAAAGATAATTGCGAACATTAACATATAACAAAACTGACTGATTTCTGACATCATCCACTAGCTGAAAAACGTAGGATTCGCATTCAAATTTGAGTTATCGACGACCGTAATCTGGCCATAAGTAAACAGGACGTTTTTCAACTGAACACGGAAGTTTCAATTTCAATATACTTTGACACAAAATAATGAATATACAAAACGGAAGCCAGAAGGGTCACTCGTCTCTGAGCCTTTGATCTCTTAGTATTAAGGCCAGCGCTTGTGGCCCCATTATCCCAGTCTACTCGGTTTAGTTTTTCGCTTTAGGTTATTTCAAATCCACAGAAGCATTTTGTCCTCAAAGACCTCAATCGTGTAAGAAACGAGCTGGACTGCAATTTAGACTGTGGGCTCGTTTTTTGTTTGGGATTAATGGAGGTTTGGTTTGGTTTCGGTCAACGTCCAAGGTGTCTGCTAAACTGCAGTAGTCCCAAGAAACCTAAGGATAACAACAAGCTTCGACGGGAACTTATGCTTTAATGATAACTACTTTCTGCATCTTTTTATTATACAGTATGTTAAAAAATCTTAATTAAGAAATTGACTTATTGTGATAATTTCAATGTCTATCACTATGCTAATCCCACGGGTGCATAAAGGTTTGCCAGCCACGTGCATAAATTACTTTCACTTGATGTGAGCACTAAGCTTTATACCCTGCATGGGAATGCGATGTAACTTTTAACAGCAAAACGTGCAGAAAATGTACCAATTTGGTTAGCACAATGATCAGGAATTGAAATTTCACAAGAGATTCATAATCCATTAAGGTCCTCTTCTTGATAAGCCCTGCATATGCAGTATCGAAAGAAAATTAAAAAAAAATTTGAACATAGATTTGCAAGAGATAGGAATAGAAGTTACTGTATGTACAGTGTCGACATACTTTGGGGGAAGGGCCATGTTGGGCATATATTGGTTTTTATGAAATCTTATTCTGTAATAATTTATGAAAATTACCCTCCCCACCCCAATTATCGAGCTTGCTAAACTGCTGTGTTCAACATCGAATTGTTACAGGCTAACAAGACGAAGACACTGGAAGTAAATTTAGCAAGATTATTTTTGAGAGCCCATCACTATTCCTAGCCTCTTGGTCTTTTGCACCTGCTCTCTTCCTTTTTCAAGACTTTTTGGAGTGAGATGGACTTAGCTGTCGAAATTAAGTTGATTGTTGCGTTGCCTTGCTATTTGATGTCAAGCGTGCGGACATGCAGTTTTCATAGTCGATAAAAATACGAGAGTCGGCTAAACTGCACTCCGGCCAGGCGGCCAGCTGTAGCTTAAAAAATACTGAAAAAACGTCGTTTATCAAACTTTGAAACCCAAACTGTTGAAGTGTATAGCACAGTCATTTGATACGATAAGGAAGATATTTACCTATGCATGTTACAGCTAATCGGCAGATAACAATCGCTTTCAAAATAATTTCATACGGCAGAACATGAACATATGAACATTGTCCACTTTTTAATAACAATATAAACAAATACAAATGACAGCGAATCGGGAAAAAACTAGTAGGATCCAATTCATTAATTATTAAAGATAATTAGATCACATGTTCTTGACTTCCATGAGGTGACATTTAATAATGTTTTACCATTTTTGATAAGAATTTTGAGGCATATGCAGTTCCCTTTTTCCATATTATTGAGAATGACTAGTGTTAAAATCGCAATCCATCGGGTGAAACCTCACATGCAAAGTTTAGTAGTCGTTCATAATCCTATATTGTGCCAGGACCTGTCCCGAACCAATTAACTTCTTTGTTTCAAGCAATTCTTTGTTTCATTTTGAGGTTCATTTCCTGTGTTTATCATTCCTAAGCAACTGATTTAAAGGTTGCAGTAGGTTGAAAGGTTTGAAAGATAAATAGTAAGTCCAACAAACAAACTCATTTGTTGAATATTCTTCGGTGGTTGAGAACTCCTTCTGGCATCGAGTTTTTGTGTGAGATTTGTTGCAGACATTATACTGACTTACTTGGGACCACAAAACTCTTTTTTTAAAGAATTTACATTTTCTAAATAGCTAATGCACTAAATAATTAGCCAATCTTACGTAGCTATAAGCTAATACAATAATAAACTAAAATTAAATTTAAAAGAAATTTTGAGTTTTTTTGTTAGTATATTTGAGTACAACAGACAGAATTAACAAAATCATAAAATGAGAGCTAGGCAAATATTCTAAATTAAAAATAGTTACAGTTGTTAAAATAAATGCAGAGGAAACTTTCTAAGTAAGTTAAACGTAAACAAATGTTATAAATATTCATAAAATTAATTCAGCACGTCTTCTTCAACAACATTGACAGCACCACGTTAAGTTGCTCATGAACGAGTTTTTACTCATAGCAAGGCAATTTTTCGCTCGCAAAATATCTTTTGACTTAGTGCTGCATCCGTGCAATCATTTCGACAATGTCAGACGGCGTCATAACGTTGTTTTTAAATTACATGTATGTAATTATCTACACCGCGTTCTGTTATGATTGGTTGTACGTTATTTCATAAGGGAAAAATGGTTAGAATAAAACAATTAATTATTAGTAAGTGCTATCTAAATGAATGGTGTTTGCTTTAGGTCAATAATAAAAAGTGCCGTTAGTATATTTATGAAACGTATTTTATTTTGGTCCAATCCTTTAAAGATAGACCTTTGTTAAATAACATGTGTAAACTAAAGTCTCAAGATTTCGCTATTTCTGTGAAATTTGAATACTCGTCAAAGGACTCCAACACGCATGACACTGCATTGTAACAAAATTTGAATTGCTCCTAAGAACACATCAAGAGCAAATGATCAGAAATCTCACAAAATGGATAAAAATATGGCTAAAAGCATAAATGAAATAAAAAACTCCCGAAAATTTCACGTAACATTTCGCAGAAATTTGCTTACAATTACGAAAGACTACTTTCATGTAGAAAACGAAATAACTAAATGCTAATAAAAATTTTACTTTCATTCAAGATAAATTTTACATGTATAAAATAATTCATTTGAAAATCTTCATTTAGGTCGAATCAAAATTCCAATTTCATGCAAAAATTTGTGTTTGAAATTAGCTTTCATTTTACTTACCGCTGTCTCGACAAATTGTGGGCGTCTACTTCGGATCAGTTTTATGCACTGAAACACATCCATGACTTGGACGATTTTAACTCGATCCACAAGGTTTGAAATGGTGATATAGGTACCTGATCTACCTGCTCCATCACTAATTGAAAGAATTAATATTTCAAAACTGAATCAACGTTCTGAGGGTTCACTTGCAGTTGAAATATTAATAGAACGGTCAAAGTTTCACGTAAAGAAATCAATTACCAAATAATACAAACTAAAACAAAACTGGAAAAAACTTTACTGGTTACAAAGACCTTTTACAGGAAATAATTCTTCACTTCACCAATAAATTTTGAAATAACAATGTTTCAAAAGCTTTATCACATTCAGGAGTTTTCTGATAAAAAAAGAAAACTCTGAGAAATATGTCACTATCAACTTGCTGAAAAGATTTCAAGCACAAATATCAACGACTCGCTGCAGTATGAGGACAAAATCGAATGCTTGTATGGATATGTAGCTTCAAGAAGAAATTGATATAAATATTGTTCCTGGAAAACCAGGAGACGAAGAGTGGACAAAAATGAGCTTGTGTTGCGATATCGACATTAAAATCTGTAAATTTCCCCCAAATTCACTTCACTTAGACTCTGCGATCTCGAAAGTTTAAGTTCAAGCCATTAAGAACAAGGCAAATTTGTCATATGAGCTTTGTGAGCCTAAAGTACTGTATAGAAGTAAGTTTACCGAAAACGCGCTCCGAACTCGTTCCACAATGCGTTCCAGTTGCGTTCGGCTTAAAGTGGAACGCATATCAAAACGCGTTGTTTGCCGCATCCGATCGTTGATCGGTAATCATCATTTATCTTCGCTATACAAGTGTTCAATTTCGGAGATTTCCATGTTATACCGAGTTTTTTTAAACAATTGGGAGCGCGTTCAGGATATGTTCAAAAATTTTCTTTTAACGCATTCGGGACATGTTCCGGCCGCGTTCGAAACGCAAATGAAACGCGAACACAGTGTTAAGTTACTTCTGAGCAGTACTATACTCTAGACGCAAACGCAGTACCTGCAGACAACGACAACAGGTCCTTTAACCTCCACAGCTCTTTGTGCCTCTTCGACTTCTGTCAAGACATTCACCAAACTCTTTACATCTTTAGGTACTCCATGATTAGGCCATGATAAGTACTGAACCATCCTGACCATTCGACCTTCTTTGATGTCCTAGATATTTAGAAAGGTTTTGTGTTTACTTATACATTTGTGTTACTGCTGCACGTTTCAAGGGATTGTACTGGATGAAGTAAAATTCTTGCTATGAACATCCAACTTTAAGTAGCAGATAATTCCTCGCTTGTGCTTACTATAAGCTTTACGCTGTGATTTTTGTTGCAAAAATTATGTTCGGCAGTGCATACATCGAGTTGCACGATGATCAAAAACTCGGAGCTTGAGACTCATTAGAGCGGCGAAAAAAAGATGGCGCTGTCAATATCGTAAGAGATCATGTTTTTATGACGCATTGAAACTTTTCACCAAGCTTTTTACAACGATGATGATGTTGAAGTGTCAAATACTTCACAACTATTATAGTACTCACTCTCGTTGGAGAAGCGATAAACTTTCTCACAACAATGTCTTCATTCTTTACGACAGAATCAAACAAAACAGTACATGTTCCATATGGTTGACTTGTTGCTCTCTTCGTGGGCCAAAACATTGGATATTCCTAACAAGTTCAAAAGTGAATCTCTAATGCTTTATTATGGTTTAAAATGTCATTCATTTTGTATGAGTGTTGTGCAATATCTCACTAAAATCCTTTAGAAAGATAAATGAGATCGTTTCCCGAAATAAAAAGAAGTTTTTGACAACAAGAAATTTTTGACAAAAAGCTTTTAACGGTAGAACTTATTTCAAAATCAGAGTAATTGTGTTTGACAGCAATTCTGTTGGCCGTGTTAGTGTTAAGTGATGAGCTTTCTTCTTCCAATCATGCTAATATTACATTTTAAGGCATTACGTCCACTAGATAATGTATTTTGAAAAACACAACAAAATAGACATCAAATTAAAAAAAGTGAATAGATTAGCAGAATGCAGTTGCAAGAGATTAGTTGATGCAAAATGGCAGAAAAACAGTAAGCTGTGCAATACTTGACACACCCCATCCCTCTCTCTTATTAACGAACTTAGTTTGGAATACTCACTTTCTACCCCCACTCACTAAAACATTTAAAATTTCTCTGCTTCAACAAAAACGTCACAAACCTCCTCGTCTTCATTTATCAGACTCAGCAAAACGATGGTCGTGCATTCATGCTGAGTTACCATCCTCCAAAAGTCGTTTATTGTTTCGTTTAAAGGCATTTGTGTTGCAATAAAGTAATTCTTTCCTAGATAACCCTAAAAGAAATCATGAATAGAGTCTTTGAGTTATTTTCATAATTTATCCATTACTAACCAGAATAGAAAGATCGACTATTTGTTTGGAAATGGTAATATCCGGTTTAAAAGCTGAAACGCTTTTATTACTAAAAAATTGATGAGTCATGCTAATTTTTCTCTGCAAAATTCTTCACGGCTACTTACATCAACAAAACATGCGTTTATGTAGTCAGAACTTTCCACACGTTCAATACGTCGAAGAGTTGGACGATTAGTTTCCGCTAGAAAGAAACAAATTTTAAAACACTGCTTTTACTTTTCCACCTTGTAACGATAAATACTCATCTACATTAAGCGAATGCCCATAAAGCTGTGTAAATGTTATTGAACTTCAAAATTTGTACTTTGCTTTGCAAAGTAATTCTATAGAACTACTTAATGTATTATGTAAGTTTACTTTGCATAAATTTTACTAATTACCAGGTTTTGCACCTTGATGTGTATAAATATCTTACTTGGATAGATATTTGGATTACGATTTTTCTTCTTGTTCTCATCCGAAAGTGCTGCTTCACAAAGTTCTTCTGGGAGCTCTGATGTAACTGATTGTAAACGCTGCAAAAGAAAATTTGGGTTACTTCAATAATTTGTGTTTATGAGGAGTAAATTGATATTGAATCTTGATTCCTTTTTTACTTTAGTACAGTTCATTCTCATATATGAGTGATCTGATGTTATATCTTGAGCTCCTCTGTAATGCATCCTGATGTTTTCATCAGGAGGGCCTGCTTATAAAAATTCAGTTGTGTGCTCAGTTCTAGTTTGTTCAAGATGAATGATCTAATATTGAAATTTGACTCTTTTTTACATCAGCACGAGACTTTATGAGAAATAGTAATTTAAATAAAAGATGTTAAACACCTCGAATTTTTCTTCAAATCCTGTTTTTCCAGCCCCATTCGTCTTTGACAGTTGTGATATTTCGACCTTTATTTCTACAGCATCAACTTCATTCGCTCCACATTGGATGTGATCGACAATGGTGTCATGAATGAACATGTATTGATCCTTAATTGGTAAAAAGAAAGAAGTGTTAACACTTATCTAAAATCTATAATAATGGTTTTTATAAGAAAATAAATATAACGTGCGTTTAAAATTACTTTTATTTTGTCTGAAGTTCAACAAAAGAATGCAATTCTTATGAAGAACTAAAGTTTCTTAAGTTGACAAAGAATAAACTAAACTAAATTTACTCGATCAATGCTGTTTGTCCTGATGTTCTTAAGTAACCTACCGCTGTCTGAACCATGTTTATGCGCCGCGATCTCATCTCTTCCACAAAGCCAAATACATCAATGTTTGTTTCATAATCATCATCTAGATCATCGAGGATTTTATCTATGGCAATAAATACTCCAGTACGACCAACACCGGCGCTAAGAAAAGCAAAGTCAGCAAAACGCTTATATACCCAGTTTTTTCGAACATGTCATAATGTCAAAATGCTACTTTTATTGAATCCTGAATGCAAGGCTTTCTTCCAAAACATTTTGCTGGTAGATAGTTCATTTGGAAGCATTTTCTTGTGTTTAGTAATTTACTAATTCGTCAATGACATCAATGGCGAGAGTTGTGTCGCGGAAATTTGGAAAGTAGTTTGGTCTCTCTCAACATTGAAAAGGGTTATTAATGTCAGTAAGGAAACGTTTGAAAAAAAATCTCTGATGATAACAAGACGACAATTTCCTTGAGTATTTTTAACAATGAAAGGACACAGTGGGTTGCTTACTCCGTCTAGACAAACTAACCTACAATGTACGACCACTGGACCGAATCTTGTCCTGTGCGATAGCTTAAAATGCTTTATGAAAGTCAACAGTTGTGTCGGATAACGGGGCACTCCATAGTCTGGCCATGATTTGTAGTGAAACTGCTCGACTTTGTGCTGTTCGCCATCCTATTAAAATAATGGACATTATTGATATGTTCATTGTCATGACAAGAGCCTCAATGGTATCCCGTCGTAGAATTAACCGTCATCATTATTTTTTGTTTGTCAACTTATTGAAAAAATCATGAACTTGGTGGAACGAAGTCATAGGACTATGCTCATCCACTTTATTTTTATTATTTATTATGAACATTGTCCTTTTATAATATTTGGTCTTTTGTTAGAGTTTTAAATGCTCATCTGGTGGTCTGTCTCCCTTCCCTAATCGAAGGCCTCAAATACCCTGCCTTCCGTCTCTACTTTTATCCAGTGCCTAGCCAACTTTTGGTCCAGCTTTGTAAATTGAAAAGCATTATCACTTCTCATTTGTTTAGAATTCTATTGTTTTGCAGTGATTGAACAAAAAATATTTGCACATGGACTTGCTTTCCAATTCATTTGAGCCCCTCTTCCAATGCTTAAAATTGTAAGACGCAATGTTTCATGGGGGATTCTTTGTTCATAAATAACAGCATGAAATGGCTGTGGTTATGAGCGGATTCAATTCTCAATACGTATCATAGACTTTGACTGCATCATCCTGGCGAACCCAGAAAATCCTAACCCAATACAAACGAGAATGAGCAAATTACCTTTTCAACCACCATCATGCGTGTGACGTAATCAGCAAAGGTCTTTGTCTTGGTGACGGTCACTTTAATTTCACCGTATTCGTTAGATTCATCTGGCCAATACTTTTCACATTTTACCTTTAAAAAAGACGCAATCATCTATGAACGTAGGCATGAAGTCATCATTATCAACGATTGTTTTGTACCTTTCCCATTTCTTTCAAAGTTGTCAACATAACAATGGTTGAACACTTGTGCTCAAAGATCATCCTCCAGAAATCATCAACTGTTTTAGGTTTTGGTCCTAAAAGATCAAAGAAAAATTGTTTACAATTAACATTACAATTACACCAATAAGAAGCAACAACAGGGGTGGCTCCAGAGGGGGCAGGGGCTACAGCTCCCCAGTCGGGGAATCCTACCCCACGTCGGGAAAAATTTGACGATTTGTCGGGGAATGAATAACGAAAAAATGTAATTTCCAAAGTCGATTATTGCCATTCGTTTAAAGTATTGTGAGCACTCATCATCGGCAATAATCTTCATAAGCGCCAGCTATCCGACATCAAATTTAAAAAAATAATAAAGTTACTCTGAAATACTTATTTTTGAATGTTAATTAGATAACAGTCATGCAAATGCAACATGAGATATATTTGCATATTACTCAACTTTCGAATTTTGAAAGGATATTTTTTGTAACAAAAACTAAAAAACTCTGCTGTTTGAGTTTCAAATCAGCAATGAGCATCAGATTCTGACAGTTTTGCATGTATTGCGGCTATTGCCTTTGATAAATCACCATCAAGCGTCTGGACAGCTAATGATGTTAGGAATTCATTGTGGTCGAGGGAGCAAACTGGATTTGATAACCGTGTGAAAAAGTTCAACGCTAGGTTTCCCATGTGTAGAATTGTTCTCTGAACATCAAACAATCAAATCGAATGATTCACTGAAGTTATATCTTACTCGTGCATTATTAATATTACCTCTCATGTTTATAAATTATTTCTTAGTACACCACTGATTTATTATATACCTGCAGTCAAAAGGAACTGCTCACAAGCAAAAAAGTTTAACAGGGTAACATAGAGATAAAGTGCCAAAATATAAGATAGACATAAGTTAAACAACAAAAAAATAATAGTGTATCTAATAACTAATGGATCTTCCGTCTTACTTTCATTACAGCTTTGTATAAGTTAAAGAAGATGTTTAATATGTTTATAAAGCTTTGATGGAGATATTTATTATTTGTTTATTACTATCCAACATTACTAGAAAATTCAGGGCATTCTTTTTACTGACTTACTGTATAGGTTTGTTATAGCCAATCATATGTATATCCCTGGGTTGCGTGTACGACTATCAGGGCTGTTTGTACAACGGTGATTGGTGGAGATATTCATATATTCAGTTCTGACTTCTTTTAAAATTAAATTTCTTTTCAAAAAAAATCAATTGGGCACAACCGAATATATAAAAAACAACCCATCCCCCAAATTAGCGTTGTAGTTTCAGCTCTCACAACTAGTTGAATACGTAGTGTTAACTTTTCATGTAGATATAAATTATTATTTCCAAAACAAACTATGTTACAACGATTTAGTTATAGAAAGGATTGATAATAATTTTTAAAAATTTTGTCTGAAAAAAAGATTTGCATGGAAAGCGCATTGTCACATCAGTCTAGTAAGTCAGCCCCCCGTCGGGGAATTCTGGGTGCCACCGCTGAGATAAAACAATGTAGGTATAATATTTTAAAGATGCAAGTTAGCTTTGGGGCAAGGCACAGAGTACACTTAGCAAGAAATCATTACATCTTACTCAATCCAAGACGTAATAAAATCTCTTTAACAACAACAGCAGGATGAAATTTGTAAAGATTCAATTACCTTGGGTCGCAATGTAGTACTTCTCACATTTTCCCTGCAAAGTTGAAGTAGGGTGTGATTTGAAATTGTGCGAATCTTTATGATAAGTTGACGATGATATTGTGAGGAAAAACATTCAAGATACTTACGTCGACAAAAGAAGCGTTGATATAGTCAGATTTTTCATCACCAGAGAGTATCACACGAGAATGGTCGTCTACAAGAAACAAGTTAACATTTTATGCTCATGCATAGTTAATATTTCTAACTTAGGCAAAGTGAACATTTTATTTCACACACGAATATGTTTCCATTTTAGTTTTTATCAATATTGCAAATGTCGGAGTAGTCAAAAATCGAAGTTGTGACTGCGTTTCCAAAGCATGCCACTTCGTTTATTGTTTGTTTATTGGCCAAAAATATTATTTGTGAAATGCTTTTATATGTCAATTTTTTTTGAATCTTGTAAGCTTGGTTTCTTAGCCACTAATCTTACATGTGACTGCGTTTCCATATCTGTTTTTGGCAGAGTTTATACTATTTTTTGCAATATCCCAGTTGCATTTCTGACCATTTGGTAAATCCTGCAAAAATAGAATATAAAACTAAACACCAAGCACATTAATCAAGGTAGTGAAATATTGAAACGTCAGTCCTTATGCACTCTAGTCTGTAATCTTCACAATTAAAAATCTCATGTTGAAAGATATAGATATACAGACGGGATATCAGTGGGAAATTTTGAATTTCAATAGAAGGTGATTCAAAAAAAGACATTACCTCGAATTCAAGCTTTAATTCCTGCATGTTTTTTTGTCTTAGTTTCTTTACGTGTTCATGAAATTTTTCAAGAGGTACTGGAAAATGATTTCGGACGATAATGGCTAAAAAATAACATGTGAGAAACATGTAAATGGGAAAAGAACAAAACTTACAGCTCATTTAAGGTTGCGCTAAAGAGAAACAGAGCATTTTTGACTAAGTTGCTATTTTTTAAGATAAAATAACATACAATTTGATTAGAAAATTATTTCAAGTCATTTTTTTCCTAGTTAATAAGCACAACAAACTGGAAAGTCGAGGTTAACTTGTAAACACACTAATAAAAAAAATCTTAATAATTCTCTCTAAATTGTAAAAATGCAATGGTATCATGGAACTAAGATGACGAGTGCTCATAAATAGCGGAATAAACTATATAAACGAAATGAAGAAAGCTTTTATAGCTTCAAAAGTATTAGAGCTAAATATTTAGTCTGGACTGTGGTGTTATTCTATATATCAGCCGAGCACGTAGTAATGAATAACTTTAGTTTTTTTTAGATAGTTGCAAACGCTTGCTAACGACATTTTACGTTCAACGCTCAGCATAATTTGTTTGTCTTTAATGAAAACACATTCATGATCTAAATATTTGGATATTTATTCTCAAGCAATCGGGCTTCTTCACCATAAAAAGGTTTGATCAAAGGTAATCCTTAGGAAAGCCTGGCTAATCTAATGCTGGATGCTGTCACTTAACTACGCATGGTGACACCCTCATTAAAATAAAACAGCAATATTAATCGAAAATTGTTCGATCTAATAGAAAAATATGATCAAAAAACACAGGCAAAACTTGTGAAACATGCCATTTTGCAACCCCCCTTACTTTCATTGTTTGCATATGTGTCGTCGTCGTCAGGAATTGGGTTGCTAAGATCCCTATTGTTTTCCACTTGTGGTTGCACAGCATCCACGATGTCTTCACCAACAAACGCTTCGTTTTTTATGGAAAGTTCATATCCCTTCTCTCCCTCATCGTTAGAGGACAGACTAGACTTAGATTTTTTATTCCCCTTTCGTCCTCTACAAAATATGAATGTTAAAGACTATAGTAATACAATGCTGTGAACAAACTTATCAAGAATAGTTAAGCAAGGTTCATATGTTATAAGCAAAAACTGTATCAGTCTTGCTTTTAAGACTTTTTCTGAGTTATAATCCCTAAGGCACGTGTTGACTCAACAAGGCGTGAAATCTTACTCTTTTATTAAAGATTTTGGAAGACTTCAGTTTTCAGCAATTTAGAACTGAGTTTTCTTACACGATTTGGCAAATTTGGATTAGATTGTTTCAAATCCCAAGGGTTTTGCGAGGTTCTAGCATTCAAAACTTTAAAAATCCACCATTTTTATGAAAGTTTCTTCAGACTTAAAATAAATCTGAGCTTCTATTGAATTTGGAAAGCTTCTTATTTGAGGATTGGTACTGGACACCATATGTATAATGGCTTAAACGAAAAGAATTTCAGTGGATTTTTAAAGCTAACAATTGAAAAAAGACTTGAAAGTTTCCGTAAAAATTGATATTTAATCAATTTGAGAAAAACGATAACTTTGCAAAAGAACCGTTTTTTATAGCACGAATTGTTAACGTAATTTTGTCTTTGTGCCCAATGTAAATGAAAATGGAAAAGTAAATTTCATTGCTATTTGAAATACGTTCGATTCAATTTTAGAACAACAAATGCCATCTTGTCAGAAATGACTTATTAAAATATACTTTGGAAGTCAAAGTCGTGATAAAAAATAAACCCTTTCTACCTTCTTAAGCAAACTGCCACGATAACAAAAATGATTATCAATACAATACCAGCGGCAGCAGCGGCAGCAATAAAAATAAGAGTCTCATTGCCTTCATCCTTTTCTAAAAAATAGATGAACTGATGATTAAATTCATACATATCAATTGTGCGTGGACTAAATTGCTATAGAAAAATTTCTATAGTTTTCTTTTAGAATAGTAACTCATCGTTCAAACGTCACAGAGTTGGTCCTGTCATGTGTTTAGCACAAACAAAGTTTCCAACATATATTAATATTATTTGACTTCATATAAGAATATAAATCAATAGTTTCTGAAATAAAAACTAAACTAGCTATTTCTGAGAAAAAACTACACAAAACTACACGAAATAGTTTAGTTGTCTTAATTAAACTAAATTTAAAACCATGCCATACTAATTCATCATTACAGGCCTCATTTTAAAAGATATTTCAAATTTTTTGGTTAATAAAGTTTTGACACTTTCTAAAATATAAAAACATTTCTTATTATGAACAATTTTTAGCTTATTTCACTTGGGAAAAGGAATTATTTAGACGAAAAAATTATTTTTTATATGAAAAGCAACCACATTTTGATGGATTTTTAAACTTTGAAATTTGTCAAATTTGTGTTTCTTTGAACTTTCTTTGGTACGTTCTTTTCTGGCAAAATATCACCCACCACTCAAAGTATGATGAAGCTAGAATTCAACCTACTTGTAGTTGAAGACAAACGTAGAGTTGGATTTGTAGTCAGAGAAGGAGTTTGAGGAGCAGAAGTTGAAGGAGAAGGAGTTTGAGGAGCAGAAGTTGTAGGAGCAGTAGTTGGACGAGGATCAGTTTTTGCAGCAGGACTCCAATCAGTTGAATAATAAACACCCTAAAAAGCGGATTAAATTTTGAGGGGAAAAGTGACTCATCATTACATCTAACTAGACAACGTTCAAAATTTTGACAATTACCATATTATTCACAACAACTCGCTGGAAAATTCGATAAGTAGTATCGGGCCTTAGAGGACGATTATTATAATCTCTATCTGTAGATCGTCGTGTTCGTGGTTTTGAAATACTTGAATTTAAGCCATCACCAAGTATAAACACGAACATGCCATCACCGCTGACTTTAAGCACGGCAGCAATGTAAAGCTTTGGTTGTGAGCGCGTGGAATGCCTTATTAAGTCTACATTGCTGAAGTTAGAAGGTGGAGGGGGATTTTTTTCATCTCCTTCCATCGCAATAACATAGAGAAATCTGAAAATAAAAGGGAAAAATAGATTAAAGTGGACTCACGTTTGATGAATTACTCGTTGTTTTTGTAGAATTCCCATTAACAAATAGCAATCATTTTATTTATTTCTTTATTAGCTCATCGCATACTGACTTATACAAACTCACTCATATTTTTGAACAGGACTCTTTAAAGAAAACGTCAACGTTTCTTCCGTAAAATTTGTAGGCTTTTCTGGCTGCACTAAAATATAACAAGTACATACATCAATTGGCGTAACCATCAATGATAAATTAAAGTGAAAAATGCAAAAGAAAAATGTTTTAATAAAAAACTTACATTCATTTGTTATTGCAATTTCATTTTCGCTGTAATTTCCTGGACCAATTATAGTACTGGCCAAAACACTGATGTAGTACGTTGTTGCTGGTTTCAAGTCATTTACAATAAAACTTTGGATTTTCGTAGTAAAGTTTCCTGAACACGTCCCATTCTTCCATCGTGTAATACAAATTGTATAATTGATAATTTTCCCATTTCTCTTGCTTATATCAGGTGGCTTCCACGTGATTGATAACGATGAACTATTAACAACAGCGACTGTTACATTTAAAGGAGGACCATCAGGAACTACAATAAAATAAAGCTATAATTAGCTAAGTTCTACAAAATTTGTAAGCTATAATTAAGTTCTACAAGGTATTGCCATATCGTCAAGAAAACAGGGCAGAAGAAATAATGTTCTTGACATTTTTCTCTGCTGACGTAAACAAAATTCCAGTTTATTGTCACATCGGAAATGCAAGGTTACTTGCGCAATTTATCTCAGTTTGTCAATATGAAAAAGAAAATTGGGGTGATTTTTGTCCGTTCACGTGAGTCAAAGCAGCATTCATGAAGTATAATTTTTTAAAAATATATGTACTCAGGTATACATTGACATGTTCTAAATGTTTTTGTACTATTAGAAAACAAGGACAGTAATTGATTAATTTTTAATTGCGGCACCATTCAGCACGTGAACAACATGAACTATTTTATCTCGCCTGTATGAAGCAAAATTGTATAGTAAATCACCAAATGCATCATAAAGAATACATAATCTTACCAGTGCTGTAGAAGTGGTGGGAGCTTGGAGGATGAGCCCCCCCATGTGATAAATATAGTCCTACAGCACTAAATCTTACCATCTTCATTTGTGTGAAAAGAAGCATTTGCTGGATCTCCAAAACCTTCCGAGTTTCCAGCGAATACTTCAACTGTGTACATCGTGTTAGGAATAAGATTGCTCAACTTGTAAGGTCTACTAACATTGGCTTGCTCAACAAAGTTAAAGATCACCATTGTTTTTTTCCTCAAAATAAACTTAAATTTGGTCAGAGGATTTTTGAGGCCTGTACTGAGAGATACTGCAACGTTTTGTGGGTCTACCCAGGATATTGTAACGTATCTTGAAGCGGTTGAATTGACATGGAGATTGGTCGGGCTGTTTGGATGCAATTCTACGAAAAAGAAGAAAGATTACTTTCAAATACCTAAAACATCATAATCAAGCGCAACTTGATGCGTTATGCGATTGTAAAACACTAATAGTACCAAAATAAGAATCTTTCCTGGCCCAAGCTCGATAATCTTAAGGGAGGCTTATATTCAAATCTCAATTTGTGCAAATTATGATCTGTAAAAAGCAATAAATTGCAAAAGAGCTTGCTAATACACCATACATATATAATTATAAATGCCCCACGCGTGTTATGGAGTTTATACAAAGCTACTAGAAACGGTTATTATAGGTTGAGGTGGTTATTCTCGTAAGTTTAGTATGTTTTATAAAATTTTAAAGTTATAAGAAGAAGAAAAGAGTACAGGAAACTTTTGAAAACAACCGTAAAAAGTTACAGAAATTATGTACAAAAAAATTCTAAAAAAATAGCAAATCGTAAAAATGCTCTAAAATATGATGAAACTTATGATGTCTACCTTTAATCTTCTGCAATTGAAGACTTGATAATATTTATAAAAACTAAACAATTAAATTTTGCTTGTTATGGATGAATTTTTAGCGATTTTTCATGTAATTGTCGTAAACTGAAACATTTATCTGTTAATGAACATATGTTTGTGATATCTTTGCATGTTTGAATGATGAATAATAGTTACGTTGCCGAATAGAATCCTTCCAAAAAAATTTGATGAACAAATTAGCTCACGTTTATAAGTTGATCTCAACGTAGCTATCTCCTCGAGGAAACTCATTAAAACTCCCAACTTTCTGTTTTAATCGACCAATTATACCATGAGTATTGTCAAATTAACCATTGAAATTATTAAATGATGAAATTTCTTAAAATGAAAGAACTTTTTGTGAAACTGCAAAGTGATAACAGTAGTGTTTTAATCTTTATGTTTTTCCAGATTAGCTTTATCAAAAAGTAACCCCTTTTACGCAAGAGAACATGCTTTTTTATGGCTGTGCTTTTACTATTTTACAGCAATCACCCGAAGCTATGAATATTAAGAACTTAGAGTTACTGCACTTAAAACGGTGATGATTAATTTTGATGATTGTCGAAAGCAATAGCTTTATGATCGTCTTAATATTTGTTTAACGTGCTTTCCGACGTAAGTCCCGGGGTTGAAAGAATATTTGACGAAAAATTGTTCCTTGACCTAAGAAGCATGTGAAAGGGAGAAGTACGGATGAAGGCCTAGTGCATTAAATATGGAGGATTATTATAAAGTATAATTCTGTAAAGGGAAACGTTGTTACATTTCTGTAAAATTCCAAGGTGTAACTATTTCACCCCGTGTGATGTTTTCACGCAAGCACATGTTTATCGACATGATTTTTTCTTCTTTGTCGCGAGCACTACATCGTCATTAAAACTTTGATAAAATACTGCAATTAATCCGTTACATCATGTGCTGTTTGTCATTCCTTTAGATTTGCATACGATTTTACGTACAGTCAGGCTGGAGAACCTTTATACCAAGCAATATTATGGATCGTTTTTAGCTGTATCGTTTATACATATATTTTGACGATTTTCAAGCATTCATTTGTACTTTACCAATTCATATACTTCAAAAACTAGGTCAAAAACTAAGCCCCGTGACCTAACTTAGAGAACCTAAGTTGTATTTAGTACTTCATTTAAGACCTCTGCAAAAAAGAGGGTGTCATGGGCGTGGTCGGGCTTAACTCGATAATAGCCGACCTTTGCCAAGACTGTTGACGAAAGTTAAGGTGGAAATAGGGTAATTGGGGTAATTTGCGCTGGAATAAGAATGATTAGTACACTTTGTTAGTCTTTTGAAAATATCTTTCATTACAAGAAATTTCAACATTTTGTAAACACAATGCACAGTTTAATTAAAAACATAGAATGGTTCAAAAAAGCTTTAACTTGATTCTTTGATTTAAACCGAATGTAAACTAAGATAAACGTATTGCACACGTTGTGTTCAAATATAAGTTTAAAAGTGCGTTAAAACTTTGTAATAAGCCCCCAATCAAAAGAACGACTTTAAAAGCTTATTCCTAACATCTAAAGAAAAGCACAACACTTAACAACACTTGAGTGTTATCAATTGTTTAACCTTACACTACAAGCAAGATATATTGAATTCTTACCACTTCTTGTGTTGAAACGATTATTATGTGATTCTTGTTTACTTGTGTTATAATTTACAAAACAATACAACAAACAACTCAATAAACTCAACCATATGTTCAATATAATTTTCAAATTCATATTTACCTCCACCACAAACTTCAGTTCGTAAACATGGTTGACCAGTGTAATTCAACGGAATAATCCGTAAAGCTCTCGTACTAATACCACCTGTGATGTTTGAGATAGCAGCGTCACTGTAAGCATTTTTGTTGCCTGGAAAAACCTAAGATAAGTCAAAGCACGATGATTCAAGGGTACACTAACATATTAAAATACACTTGTTTATAACTTTGAGAAGTCAGTTTTCGAACATAGTTTTTTTTATTTACCTTTTGTGAATTTTGGTAAAAAACTGATTCCCAGTTTATTAAATCAGATGTAGTGTTTAGGTAAAAGCTAGATATCCAACTTGGGCTTACACTATCACCAAAGATGACGATAGTGTTGATTGCATATAGTGTTTCAAAATTCAGTTCAAGATAATGAGTGCCATTTGCAGCAGGAGCACACCAAGAGCTACCACTGGAAATTCTTGCATCTTTGGCAGAATGGTTAATAGTTGAGGACGAGGCAGAAAAGGAGGTGTTTGGAAAACTATGTTTGTTGTTTAATAAAGGCCTTTTACATATATGACCTAAAAAGAGAAATGAGTATATGGTGATGAAAAACACAAAAAATGGACGATATAGTCACAGTAGAGAACATACAGTAGGGCAACTCCATTGAATTTTTTCTTTCCACACATATCTTATTACGCAAGTGATTACCATATTGGCAGCCAATAAATTGCATTGTATGACCAATAGGAATGACGATATGGCAAATAGCAGCCAGTAAACTAATTAATTATACAGCAGCCAGTTGCACAGCGAAGTGGCCCTACTGTAGATTCCTACACTGTGATACAATCTTGGACCTGTATAAGAGTTTGTATTCATTTCATTTAACGGAAGTTATCTCAACTGTTTTTGG